GGTTTTTTATTCCTCATTATCGTTTTAATATAAATGCGTTTTTTATTGACAGCTGCTTGGAAGGCTTGACGAGCCCAGAGGGAGACTAGTGCAAGGGGTGGAGGAATGGTCACATCCTCCCCTCCCATTTCCCAGCATTACCCTTATGGTTTGAGGGGCTAATGATCAGGGTAACAACCCTAAGAGCCTATTCTTAACAAAGGTGAGAGAGAGAGCGAGAGCGCGAGCGTGAGCCAGATTCATCTGCAGTGGGAATAACCCTGTGATGAAGGGCAGAAGGAAAGTATTTGCAAACAGAATGCAGTCCTGTCAGCCTTCTCTCTTTCCAGTGCCCACAAACAATGGCATACAAATACTGAAGCAAAACTGAAAAAAAGAGTATGGAATGGGCTTGGAGATAATTGCTGCAGGAAATGCAACAGGATCATACAAAACATGTAACATGCTCCCTCCCCCCAAGCGTTGTATCAGGGATTATGTACCTCCCTGGTCACATGACGAACACAAAACTGGAGACATAGAGCAGGCAACTCTGCAGGAGGTGGGGCAAATGCTGGGAGTGGTTGGAATAAAGCTCTTAGGGATGCAAGTCTGTCCTTGCAGGCCAACTGTCTGCCAGCCATAAAGTCAGTCTCTCAGAGGAGGAGCATTTTGCTTCAAAGCATGACAAATACCAAGCAGTAAGAGTGTGGCCCTTCTACGCTGTCCCCCAAGAACTTCCAGCTCTCTTTTATATAAGAAGTCCTAATCCAGTAGGCCAGGGTTCATCTGCCATCTACTGGTCAATGGGAGCAAAAAACTCCTGGATCAGCGATGCAGGAGAGTGCCCTGTACATACGAGGAACTCCCCCTGTGTATGATGCTGGGCTGGGGCAGGTTCCAAAAAGCCTGTTGCTTGGTCTACTATTTGATCTGTTCAGTGGCTTTATTCAGATAGTAGGTTTAATAAAACTTGTCTCAGGAGAGGTTAGAGCCCTGAGGATAAACTCTGAGAACAGGAACTAGCAGACAGGACTTGTGTCACTAGGGACCCAAGAAAAAAATTCTAGAGTGATCAGGAAGATCCAGAAAGACCTACGGATTCTCCCAGTGAAAACCAGACAACAAGATCTAACTTGAGGAAGCTGTAAGAAGAAATCACATTTGAGAAGGATGCTCCTCACCAAGAGAAATACTTATGTGCACTAATAAAGGTGATCTGAGAAGACAGAAACAGAGGACATCAGTGAGCTAAAGAGAAGCTCAGACATGTGCCTCATGAAAGATGAGGGTTAACACGTCTGGAAAGGGTAGTAGAGCTTTCTGCTGCAGAACTTAAGTTCAAATTCTACCACTGGCCCATGGTGGGAGTTCTTACAGCAGCAGGATTTCCCATAACCCTGCACAATAGTGGTAACCACTATATGCCACATAAAGGCTTTTACTCTTTGTTGAAAGATCAGTAGCATTAGCTCCATCATTTCTGCAGCATTTCTCCAAAAACATGCTATATTTCTTTTTCTTCACGTACACAAAGCATTAGTAAAATACTGTATTTTCTCACATACAACAAGTTTGGTTTTTTCCCCAAAAAACCAGCTGCTGGCAATAGAAGTGCATTATATGCGAGAAATATAGTAAGAGCATCTCTCTGCCACAAAGGCAAAATCTGCACATGATCCAGTGATCAATAAGCTCAGCTCCCTAGCTAGCTGCTGCTACTCAGTTACTTACTACAAGGAAAGGCCTTTCTTCATGCTGCCTTTCAATAGCAGAGCATGCATCTTATTCCAGGGTGCATTTTACACAAGAATATATGGTATTCTCAGTGGAGGTCCCAGCAAGGTCCCCAGTAGTGCCATTTCCTCTCTGCCCTAAGACATGATGCTACACAGCATATGCAACCCAATAGAGCTAGTTTTCTGCTACTACTCCCTGATAATTTAAAGCAGGACCAAAAGGGAATTGGCAAATTCATGGAGGACAGGTCCATCAGTGAGTATTAAACACAATAACTGGAGATGCAACCTCCAAATTAGGACTCCCAGGGCCTCTGAATGCTGGAAGCTATGGGGCAGAAAGGGGGGGTGGGGGGTTGAAAAAAAAAAAATCAAGGTTTTGGATACATCCTGCTTAAATACTCTTCTCCTTACCATTGTAAAAGACAGAACACTGAGCTAGGTGGACCTGTGCTCAAAACCATATGGCATGTTTTATGTTCCCACTGCAAGTTCCTTCCTTATTTGCTGGCCTCTCTCACCCTTAGGCTCTTTAGTCTTTACTGCTTGTTACATACCTGCCTGGACTAGCAGTGTTTCCAGCAATTGTTTCCTCTTTCCATTAGCACCAACTTTTATTTTTGCAAGGGGGGGGACAGCTAAGATGATGGGCATGTGGAAAGTTTTATGCATTTCAGGGGATAGCCCTCTTCCCAAGGGGGCCAGGGGCCTCAAGTCCCCACGTACTTGGTGCCTCTACCTTCTTCAGATCCAACTTGTCCAGGTTGAATTTCATTTATTTCTTGCCCCATATATTGGGCTTAAGAAGGAGCCTGATCTTACTCCCACTAAAGCCAATAGAGGTTCAGCCACCGACTTATACAGCAGTACAACTGGGCTCCAGGTCCACTATAGTTATTGCTTCAGTTCAGTTTGTTTCTAGATGGTTTCCGTTGCTGGTTTCCAGGCAGGATGCTGTTGGGTCAAGAGACTCATTTATACCATTTCTGCAAAGCTTAGAAGAATGCCAATGAGAAACATGCTTGAGAGCAGTGATAAGTGCCCTCAGGGTGGCTTCAAAGCCTCATTTCCAGATTTGCTCCATGTGGAGTCGGTGGGTAGGGTGTGCTTCTCAGCAGCAAATCTCAAGAGTGCTGCAGGGGAGTACAGATGTGCCTTGGGCTCCTGACCTCACCAGGAACATTTACTATATTCAGTTTCCACTTCCCAACTTCCCTAATAATCCCCCACCCAAATCCCAGTTCTCAAATGGGAATTTTATTGGAAAATACAATGCACATATTCCTTAACCAGGATTCGGATCACTTCTAATGCGATTCCCTAGTATTCTACAAGCCCCAAAAGGGAGGACTTTGACACATGAGGTTTTCAAACCCCTTTGTGTTTTTACCTACCTTGACTCAATCCCTTATAACTACTGGCGCTAAGCAACTGCCTTTGGCCTCAAAACATTCTAGTCCCATCAGCTTGCTTCTTTTTATTCATTTCTCTTCCCCCCTCTCTCTTCTCACTTTCATTGTTGCTTTCTTTTGCTCATTAGCATTCCCTCTCATTCCCTTTTTCTATCTCTCGCTCACTGTCTCTTTAAAATTAAATACCAACCCAGCACTGCCCATGTGGGTGAAGTGAATGCTAAGAGGAAAGGCTGCTACCAAGAGGGTGATCCAAGCTGTCTTGCTGGGAATCAATGAGGCATGGAAGGCTTGGCCAGCTCCTGAAATGCTGAGAGAAACCAGAGCGGAGCTGTGGCAGCTGAAAATGCATTTGAGAGTAAAGGAATGGGCCTATCGCTGAGCACCCTGGTCAGCTGCAGAGAGAAGCCATGCTAGCTGAGCTGGAGATAGCTGCTTTCATATTTTAATACAGTCGGTCCCGGTGTGGCTTTCATCTTCATCCAGCATGGGAGAAGCTGGCTGGAGCTCCGCATGAAGCGGAAGCTGAGGAATGGGTCCTGCAAGGAGCAGGTATACTGGTCTGCTCCATACTCCAGCTATCCGCAACACTGTGAATCCAGCTGGTACCAACCTAGCTACAAAGCTGAGGAGTGGTTGGTCATAATTACAGGTAGTGCAGAGGCAGGTCAAAAAAAGTTAACCTTAATTCTTTGCCACTAAAATGTGGGGAAATGCTCAATGTCAGTCAGGAGCACCCAAATACCTTAGCCCCCAAAACTACATGCAAGCAGACCAACTGCACTGCTGCTCCATATGTACATAATACATACATGCACACACTCCACATGCCCCACAGCATACAGTTGCTTATAACCAATCCACACAGCCAGGCATGATCCAATACATCCCCCACAACCCATGGTTGTAAACTGATGTACCCTGGCATGCATGTGCCCATTCATGCGTGCACATGCGCACGCACGCGCGCACACACACACACACACACACACACACACACACACACACTCTCTATTCCAATGCCCACAAAACCCCAACCCTTTTCCCACTCCCCATAGCCTCTACCCTTCCCTTTGCACAAGGAAGCCCCATTCCCCCTGCACAGCCATTCCCACTGTTTTGCGCCACACAGACATGCACAGTTGATGCCTTCCTCCCTGTATCCCCGAGGCTCCTCACCCTGCAACAAGGGAAGCTGTCATCAGAAGGGATTAGATGAAAAACAGCAGGATGCCATATTGGTTTCTTCGCTCCCAACTCCTAAGAGTTAATGGTAACAGGGCCTCCTTTGTTACCCTGTTATCTTGTATGAGCACCAAAAGTGATTGATGTTGTTATTAAAGGGATTTTTTTTTCCATTTGGGATTAATTAGGGGCTTGTGAAAGTAAAGGGCTGTCACTGCCAGCTAGAATTGGTCTGAAACAGCCAGGGCAGTGCAATCTACACATGCACAGCTCTGCCAGTGCGCCATGCTTCGTAACTGCAGCATCCCCTGTACTCAAGTCCTGGAGATGCCCACAGCTCTGCTCACAGCCCTCAGTCCTCACCTCCAGTACCTCTGTTAATCTTGTCATGGGCTCTTCACATATAGCTTTGCTAAGATTCCCATCCCACAATTCTACTACTGCCTCCTCTTTTTTTTTAGGCTTCACCAACCATGTGCACAGACATACGGGAAAGCTGTGAGAGATGTACCACATTTCCTCCAAGGATAGGCTAAGAGGACTCCCGCTACCATCTCTTGCAATGTTTGGCTTCCAATGTACATGTGCCCTCCTATGGCTGCAGATTACCACATGGCTATCCAGAGGCACCACACCCTGCAGCTGACTGCCTGACAGGGTGAACAAGGGACAATGTCTTTCCTACCTCTTTGCCCAGATCCTCTTGTATCACTTGTTTGATTTCCTGCATGCTGCTCTGTGGGGCCTGGCTATGCAGCACCTTGAGGGTGTAGGTGTATTCTTCAGGCAGAAGGTAGTCTAGTGCTCCTAGGTGCTGTCCCACCTTGATGAAAGTGCCTCGGTTGGCACAGCACAGGTCCCGGAGGCGTTCTGCAGAGCGAAGGTGCACCTACAGAGAAACCAGGAAATCAACTGAGCTGCTTTCTCAAACCTTTTGCATCTCATCATCCCACCACCCTTAGAATTCTTATTCCCCTACTCTTATTCTTCCAACTTGGATTAATTTGCTTATTTGGCTCTGTATCTGCACAATCTATCACGTCAGATGAACTCTAGGACTGCATTTTGTTGATTTAGAGAGCTGAGGGGAACCAATGAAGAACACTCCCGCATATAAAAGCTACAAGCTCTTGTTTAAAATGTATGTGAAGCCATGTCTTAGTGAGAGACCAGCAGATCAAAGAAAGACAAAGTGCAGAGGTCACCTAGAGGATGTCCCAGCATAGATGTCTCCCGGAAAATGTGGAAAGACATTCTATTTAAAGACATGTTTAGAAAACAATTGATGTCAATTTAGCCCTAGCGAATGGTACTGGATAGGCAGCCCCTCAGAGACTGGATCCTACTTATCAGCAAAATAGCTACAATCTGGACTACAGCAATACCAGGATTTATTACACATACTCTTCTACCAGCCCCTTTCTCCCTGTCCCAGTTCCAGGGGTGAGGTTGGGGATAAGTTTCCAGGGTCCCATCAGTTCTTGGCCTCTGCTCAGTCAGCCAACAGAAAGCATTCCCATGACAGCTATCATACAAATTTTAGCGACGCAGACACCAGGAACTAGAAACTGATACATGCAGTTCCCCCACTCTAACTCATGGCACTTCACAGAAAGCGCCATGAGTTACAGTGACCCCCCCCAGACCCAACAGGCATTTGCTGTTGGGTTGTGAGGGTGCAGGGGAAAGAAAAATCAAGCTCTACTTTGGATCCAATCCAATGGAGGAGTTGCCTGCCCCCATTGTTACTAGCTCCTCCCCCCTCCCCCCCCAGCTCCAGGGCTGTCTTCAGAAAAGGAGGAGGGAGGAAGAGAGAGCTGCAAGCTGGGGTTTGCCCAACTGAGCTGGAGAGGGAGGGGGTTGGGAGGGAGGCCACAAGGCAAGAGGGCTCCAATCCACCTACCTCCCTCCAGCTCAGGTTGGGCAAACACCAACCCACAGCTCCCCCTCCTCCCCACTCTCTTCCTACAGACAGCACTAGGGGTGAGGCTGGGCTGTACCAGCCCAGTCCCAATCATGCAAAGAGTATGCAGAAGTTACCTAAGGCACTCAACTTTGGAGCGCCTTCATCTGATCATTAGATGAGGGTTAATTTGTCACATGATCAGCCACTTTTAAAGCATTCTGCAGCCGTGCATGTGTCATGGCATGGCTGTAGAGCACTTTCAGGGAGCCAATCACACAACAAATGTTACTTCTATCAGCACCCCAAGAAGCCAACCACTGCAGATGATCACTGTCCAGGTCTGTATTTCAGCTGACAACACTGCTCTCTCTCAAGAAAGTACTAAGCACCAAACCCTCCAATGACAATGATATATTCTGTTTACATTACTAGTAGGAAACATCCCTGTCAGGGACACAGATTTAGTCAGTAGTCTACTAATGGACTTCAATTGAATTTATCCTGCTAACTTAATAAAATGCAAGCAAATTGAAAAAAAAACACATTCCCATCTCTTTCTACACCTGGCTGCCATCTGCACAGTGTTGGCCAATACCTCATGGTATTGGGTGCCAGAGTTCAGCAAAGTCCAAATCCTTGCTGCAGTTCTGGCATGAATTCCCTTTTCCAGGAACATGGCTAAAGACACCAAATCCTCACAGTTCACAGCTGCTTGCTCAGGTATTCAGAAACACTAGCTCAGAGAAATTATCCAGAACCCAAGCGAAAAGCAGATTCACCCTGAAGTTGGAAAAATCAAGTGCTCAAAGTTAGGAAACAGTTTACTCTTAACTCTGTCCCCAACCACTGCTTACACATATATACACTCTCCTTAAACCTTTACAAAGTGTGTATCTATGAATAGCAGGACTTTTGCATCCAGTCTCACTCTATTGCTTGCACACTCCTCAGACTTTGCTCTCAGTCTTTGTAATCAAGTCACCCGACAGCCTACCACCTGAAGCTCTGGGATGAAGAGGTCAATGGACAACTCTACCATAGAGTAAATCTTCTCTCTCCAGAAGACAGTTTTTTTGTCAGGAGTTTGTTCTACAGCCTCAGACCAAACTCTACAGAAATCAAAGGCCAGCATAATCCTCACCAACCTCTGCTCCAAGGACAAGGCCCTGCCTTTTCCAATATAACAACGAACAGTGTATGGATAAAAACTATGCATAAAGCAGAAACGTACCAAACTACACAGTACACTGCACACACAATTCTCTCTGGGGAAGGCTTAGAGGTAGAAAGAACAAGATGACAGATGTTATCAAGACCCAGCGCATGCTATGCTCAGTCTGACCCACAGATCATGTGAGTTGCTGGCACCACTAGCTCCAGAACCCCAGCTCTTTAGCTGAAGCAGGTTGTGCTCTTCACTCTGCAAGTCCTTGATTCAATTCACCACATGTCAAGCAAGGAACAGTTTATGTATCAGCAATGTCAGTTAATGAGATGCAGGAAAGAACCCAGGGGTGGCAGTGATTTGTATGGAAGGACTTATGAAGAACAGATTTCTTCAAGAAGCCAAGTTTGAAACCTAGGTCCAAGCTCTCACTAGGGCAGTTCAAATTTAGGACCTAAACTTCCAAATAGTATTTTGGAAAAGCCCTGAGAACCTAATTAGAGCACATCCTGTAGCGTTTGCCAGAAACCGAGGGATGCTCAATTCAAGAATATTTGTATGGGGTTCACAAGTTTAAACGCCCTCCAGGTGAACTCGTCAGAGAACAATCATCTGACACTCCTGGGGACATAAGTGCAGATAGCATTTGGGCAAAATGGGCTTACACAGGACTTCATTCCCACAATTATTCAAAATAACTAGAGCACACACATGCACATGTGGGTAAGCATGTCATCCCTGTGCTCTTATCTGCAGGTCACTTTCCTAGCCAGTTCAATGCCTTGGTCTGATCTTCAGAGCCATCAAAAGGCCTGGATGCAGCTACAATTGGCCTCTAGGCAAATGCACCTAACCACAGCCAGATGAAGCACATAGGTGCCAGAACAAATCACTCTCGGTGGAAGGGATTCAGCCATGAAACAAGATACTAGAGGAGGGCAGATTAATCCAGAGTTGGATCTCTTACAGGGCACTCTACAAAACCTCTCTCTTTGAGAGAGCATTTCTCACTATACCTCCACAGAAGAACCTTAAGCCCAGTGACAAGAGCAGAAGACTCGGGATGTCCACGACAGGCTTCCTTTGCCAGCCTCATTCAAAAGAGCACCAAGATACCATAGGAAATTCTAGAGAAAAATTGATGTGTAAACAGAAAGATGCACAGCACAAACACACATTCAAGTACACACACTGCATGTGTATGTGTAACAACAATACGAGGTGTCCACACACAATGCCTACTCAAAGCCACCCACAGACATGCACAAAATGCTGCCTGAATCCCCCAGACCCACAGGTAAGACTGCTGCATTTTATGGGCTTCTTTTGATACTTCTGTTGTGACAAACAGTCCCCTGCTTGAGCAAGATGCTTCCCTTCCTCGTCCTTCTGTGCATGTCTGCCCGTGTGTGGGGAAGACAGACAGACAGTCAAAGAAAGGGAGTGATGAAGGGAAGAAATGAAATGGAAAGAGCAAGAGAGTTAGAAAGGGAGTAACATGGAATGAAAGAGAGGGAGTGGGAGGGAGAGAGCCAGAGCAGCTGGGCAGTTTGTCACAGTACAGGGAGTACAGCCCATTACAGGGAAACAGCTTTTATGCAGCCTGGATAATTGTCCTCGACACTCTGTCTCCAGCAGAGGATTAAAAAAATAAAGTCCAGCAGCCAGTGAAGGTTGGAGGGGAGTCACTGTCTACAGCTCCCCAGAGCTTGTCTGTATTCCAGAGGAGACGGAGGGCAGGCTGTGTGAAGCATGCTTGTCAGGGGGAGGGGAAAGAAGTGTTTCCAGTCCTGGTTCTTTGTGCTCAAGCTCTAGACTCTTCCGTGTTAGAAGAATGTCATGCCAGGGCTCTGTGAGCTCACAGAGACACAGTAGGAGCCACAGATGAGCTGTTTCCACACAGCTTGGGGCCCTGGTAAACCCAAACACAAGGACACAGTCAAACCACTGTCTCCTGCATGGCTTAGTGCAAAACACAAAGCAAGATGACTCAGGGACTGAAACATAGGGCTAAGCATCAACAACCTTGGTCTCTTGCACAGTACTGCACAATATCAAGTATCAAGCTGGCCTGGATAGGAGGGCCTAGGTTTAGGGAACTGAATTACAAGGTCATATTCCCCACTAAACACTGGTCAGGCCCAGAAAGTGAAAGAGAATAAAATCCAAGTTGCCTGTGTAGAAGGACAGGACACTAGCACCAAGTTGGTGAGGGAGCACGAAACCAAGGCTGCAAGTCATTTACCTGTCAAAATCTCTACCCCATCAAGAAGACTTACCAAGGTACAACCACCTGTACCTGATGTCAAAGACACTCCTTCAGGAAAAACACCCTCTCCAGCTCCTCACTGACGCAGATCACTAGGGCTCAGATGCAAAGAAAACCCTCACCCCCCTGTATCATGGCTGTGAAGAGAGCAAAACTAGCCTAGACCTCCTTTGGCACAAGAGCAGAGGAAATTCAAGCTCTACAGAATCTTTACATCCCTTAGTGAACCCCAGCTACCTCATGGACATAAGTCCTCACAGGGAGAGCTGATCTCTGAAAAAGTGAAAGATAAGGACAGCCACACTGAGAATGCCAGGAGCAAGAGAGCAGAAACTAAGACACAGTAGCCTCCTCCCACAATAATTTGGCCCATTTATGCTACAAGCAGCAACGGAAGTGCTACTGAATCTCAGGGACAATCCCTGACAATGTACCCAAAATGTTTGGAACTGCTGCCAGCAGACAGTTGTTGCCAGCCTTGGCCATTTTCAAGGGGCCTAGGCCAAGCTGGAGAAGTATGGCTAAGCAGAAGACCCCAAAACCTGTTTT